AGGCTGCCGAGGCACAGGACGGACGGCCTCGCCGCCCCCCAAGGCGGCCGAAGGCCAAGGGGGAGAGACGATCCCTTTCAGCTGGAGCATGGTGCTCACCAGGATGGTCCTCCGAGTCGGCTGTTCTTCGTCGCGGTGCCTGAGGGCCGCGCTCAGCGCCGGGCGCGGGGCTGAGCTGAGCCTCGCTACCGCGCTCTTCCTGCTGCCGCTGCCCTACACCGAGCAGGAGCTGCAGCGGCTTGCCCCCAGAACTCGCCGCGGGCGCCACCGAGCGTGCTGGCAGGGGGCTAGTGCCCGCGCTTGCAACGTCATCGCGATGGCCCTAAGCTTCATGCACAGCAACAGGCCGCATTACCCTTCCAAGCGGGACCTCGGGGGGCAGCTCTCCCACAGCCAGCGGCTAGTCGTCGAGCGATCGGGCTGTCCCTCAGTGCTTGGGGCCGCGCTGCGGTTTCTTCGGGCCCGCAGCGTGGCCGAAAGGGGTTTCGAATGTTCGAGGAGACTGCCCATCTGGCAGGGGCCAGCGGTGACCTCCTGCATGACTTGGACCCTTGCCATCTGGTGCCGCTATCTGTTGTCCGCACTGCGGGCGCGGTAGTTGGACCGCTAGATCCCTCGCGCTTGAGGTTATCCGAGGGCCTCGTTCATTGGGGCGCCCAGGACTTCGTGCCGACCGAGCTGTGGCTGCCCCTCGTCGAGCCTCTACGCACGTGGACGCCTTCGCCTTCCTCGTGGTCACGGCCCTCGGCGCATATGGTGAGGGCGGAGGCGGACGTGTAGCTCGGGCGCCGCGGGCCTTCTGCGCCCCGCCCGCGCGGGCGTCCCTGCCCCTGCGGCGGGCCGGGTCGGCAACGTCTTCAAGGACGCGGATCGCGACTTGCAGGTCTTCGACCGCCGAGGGCCAAATTGACTCGAAGGACGGCTGGCCGAGGGCCTTTCCGGGGGACTCGCTACGGGCCCGCTCTTGGCCGACCATCGCACGGCGAGGGGGTCGAACACGTCGCTGACGCACGGCCAACATCTGCGGCCTTGCCCGCGACTTGCGGGCCCACGCGGGTTTCCCATCCGACCCCGCCAGGGCGCTGGAGGAACGGGGGAGCGCCGCCGCCCGCGGCGGCAGACAGGCGCCCGGCGGCGCGCTGAGGCGCCGCCCGCGCGGCCCAGCCTCACGTGTCCGAGGGCGCTTCGCCGCCCTCCCAGGCGACCATGCGGCGGTGGACCTGGCCTAGGGGGGCTACGGCGAGCTCCTCTGCCGAGGAGGCTGCCTCGCCGATTCGGAGACGACCTGCGTCCCCGAGGGCCCCGTGGCGCAGGGGCTCTGCATCGACGACTACATCGTGGTGGAGCGAGCTCCCGTGCTGGACGCGCGCTCTGGAGAAGGGGCAGACTTTGCTCTTCTGGCCGCCGCCCGCCAGGCCTGCGCCCGAAAGGGGCTGCCCGAGTCGACCTCGAAGGTGGTAGCTCAGGAGCTGTTGGCGACGCTGGTGGGCGCCGAGATAGATGGCAGGCAGGGGCAGGCTCAGCGAGGGCCCGTCACCGTGGGAGCCCCGCTGGAGCGCCGCTTCGCCCTCTCGGCGCTGAGCCTCGCGGCGGCTCGCCTGACGGTCGCGAGCGGCTGCTTGTTGGCCACCATGGCGTCCTCGTGGATTGCGGTCTTCGCCGACCGCCGCCTTCTCATGGCGGTGCTGGACCGCGTCTTCAAGGTACCTGGCGTGGCCGAGGCGGGTTTCATGACGCGGAAGGCCGAGGCCGCCGCCAAGCTGGAAGCCGTCCACGGTCTGCCGAAGCCCGTGAAGGATGAGCCCGTATTGGCGCCCGTCCTCGCTCCGATGGCGGACACCGACATCTCCGCCCCGTACGATGACAGGATCTACGCCATGGGTGCGTCTCCGTCGAAGGGGGGCCGTGGTGAGCACCCCCGCTTCTGCTGGCATGGTCGCTCACCTCTGGCGATGCGGGGAGCGGCGCGGGGGGCACTCCCGCCTCGAGTCGGCGCCGAGAGTGTCCTTGAGGTAGATCGGCCAGCTGGGCACCAGCGCTGAGTCGGACCACTTCGGTGGGGGTCCTCGACGAGCCTGGGTGGTTGGACCACCCCTCGCGGCCTCTCGCCCCGTTCTACGAGTTCCTGGAGATCGGAGGCGACGGGGGCAGAGTCGCCCAGGAAGTGGCCAAGCTGGGCCTGATATGCGGGGCCATCTTGGAATCGAGCTACAGCGTCTGGTACGACCTCGGCGACCTGCGACTCGTGGAGTGGATCCTCTGGCTCATCTGGTCACTGCAGGTCCTCGGCGTGATGGTCGAGCCCCCGCCGTCGATCTTCACTGATGTTCGCAGGACAGGACAGCGGTCTGGGGCGAGCCCTAGAGCTTCGACCGCCTCGACCCCGCGGTGCGCCTCGGCAACGCCCTGGCTGTCCGCTGCCTCGCGCTGCTGCTGGCGGCGAACCTCGCTGGAGTGGCGGGGCTTGTCGGGATCCCGAGGAGGTCCAGGGTGCGGCAGCTTGCGGCCTGGCGGCGCCTGCGCGCGCGGACCAGCTTCTCGGCGAACTGGCTCGCCTCTTGCACGTTCGGGTCCGCCTGCAAGAAGGAGCTCGCGTTCATGAGTGCGCGAGCCGACGTGAACGCGATGCGCCGACGGTGTCTTGACGGCCACGCCCACCCTCCCACCGTGAAGGCGGACAGTGCGGGATCGGCCTTCTTCCCGAGCGGCGTGGCGGCGGCCGCGGCTACGGTCGTCAAGGCGTTTGCCCGCAGGCTCCAGCTCGCCGACGAGGAGCAGCACGCCTCAAACCCAGGCTCCGACCAGCTGGTGATGTACGAGAACCTCCTCACCAGCCGATGGGAGGCAAACCGCAGCTGGCGTTGGAAGCGGCCCGCCCACATCAACCTTCTGGAGTCCGCCGTCGCGAAGAACTGGCTGGAAGGCGCAGCGTGGGAAGGAGGGGACCGCCGAGTCTTCGGGATCCTGGACCCCCGCGTCGCGATGTGCTCCACTGCGAAGGGCCGTTCGCCTTGGGCTGGTCGCCAGCGGAGCCTTGGTCAGATTGGCGCGATCACGGCGGGGGGAGGCCTGCGCCCGGGCGTCGGTCTTTCTTCCTCGAGGTTCAACCCGTCCGACGCGCCGACGCGGGAGAGGGATATCGAAGACCCGCGTCGGCCTCCGCCGTGCTGGCTTGCCGAACCAGGGTAGTGGGAGGCGGCCTCGCGGGTGCCCGCAGCGCCCGCCCCGCTGGCTGTCTGGTGTCGTTTGGTCTTCGGGGAGGCGCCCGCGCTGCTGCAGGGGCCCCAGCGCCGCCGCCGCCGCCGCCGCCGCCTGGGCGCGGCGACAGCGCGCCCACCGGTGCCTCTTCGGGCGCCGGCCGCCGTGGAACGTGCCAGGCGGCTTCCACGCGGGCGTGGAGCCTTGCCATAGCGTCTTCGGCGGCTTCCCTGGGGGGGCTGGCGCGCGGGCCTCGTGGCGCGCGCGGCGATGGTCTTCACCTCAGGCGGGGGAGGAGGACAAGGAGGAGGGGGAGGAGGAGGAGGAGGAGGAGGAGGAGGAGAAGGAGGAGGAGGAGGAGGAGAAGGAGGAGGGGAGGGGGGAGGAGGAGGGAGAGGGGGAGGAGGAGGAGGAGGAGGAGGAGGAGGAGGAGGGGGAGGAGGAGGGGGAGGGGGTACGGCCGAGTGAGGCCGCCTTTCCCGCTGGCGGTCCAGGCGGCGTGCCAGCCTCCGCCCGGGCAGGGAGCGGGGCCCTGGCGGACTTGCGGGCCGGGTCCCGGGCCGCCCACCGCGGGTGGGCCTTCGCCCGCCCGCGGCGGCTCCGCCCGCGCGGCCTCCTCCTCCTCCTCCTCCTCCTCCTCCTCCTCCTTCTCTCCTCCTCCTCCTCCTCCTCCTCTCCTCCTCCTCCTCCTCCTCTCCTCCCTCCTCCTCCTCCTCCTCCTCCTCCTCCTCCTCCTTCGCTGCCGAGAGGCGTCTTGGGACGTCACGGGGCCATCTTGGAGGCCTCGTGGGCGATCTTTTGGGGCGATCGTGGGGGCCCCTTGCGCCGTCCTGCCGTCAGAAGGCCGAAAGGAAGCAGGTGCCAAAGTCCTGCAAAATCCACGGGCAGTCAATGATTGTGGCCTCTTCGGGCCCTCCTGAAGGACCTCGTGGAGGCCTCTTGGGCTGTCTTGGAGGCCTCTTGGGGGCCTCTTGGGCCGTCTTGGGCCATCTCGAGGCCATCTGAGGCCGTCGTGGGTGCATATTGGGCCGTCTTGGAGGCATCTGGGGCCCATCTTCGCCGTCTTGGACGCCATCTTGGGGCCGTCTGGGGCAGGAAAATTGTTGACAACCACCTCCTCCGGGACCCCGGCGGGACGCGCCGGAGCCCCAGGGAGAGTTTTTGTCGGAAAAGAATCAATACCACAACCGAAATCATCTAGTTCGCCAGGCCCCCCTGTGATGAATCAACAGGGGGCGGCGGATCTAATGGTCTTCGGCGCATCCCGCCACCGTGCCTGGATTGTGGGTCAGAGTCCTCAGGGATGCTTCTTGGGGTCTCTTTGGAGCGCTCTCGAGGGCCTCTTGGGGATCATTGTATGGCCTCTTGGGGGCTTCATGGTGGCACCGTGGTGACCTACTGGGGGTCTCCTGAGCAAGAGGACCGCCCCGGAGTCCCACGCGAAACATCCCAGAAGCGCCCAAGAGCGTCTAAGGGCGCACAGGAACGCTTGGGCAAACAGGGGTCAGGGCCTTTAAGAACCTGACAACCCTTTACAGTTCAGGGCTGCGTGAGCCTTGAAGCACTCCACTTCGTGCCAGAAGCATGGTGGCGGATTATAATACAGGACAGTGATGAGCCCTTCCCCGAAAGAGAAAAAAGATGGCTGGAATAGGAAGCGCTGTAAACCACTCACTCCCAGAGGGCTGGTGGGATTTGAAGACGTATGCTCTAGGGTGGAGGTCGCCCCTGACAAACCACAGGTATCTGACCAGACAGCCAATAGACACGCCCCCAACGTGCCGAGGGCACGGTGGCAGATCATGTCCCTCGTCGCGATCCCCTCAGAGCTGACGTCCTGCAGTGGGCTGTTCTTGCACGCCGCGTCGCCAGGGGACGTCACCGAGCTGACGTGGCTGTGCGAGCCCGCCCACTCCAACCTGTGCGCCAATATCCTGTCCGTCGCCTCAGCGGGGGGTGCGGTCGCGACAACACTCCAGGTCACCGCGGATCCCGTGTCGGATGCGGGATTTAGACGGCGGCACTTCGGCGGCGTGTGACTCCCCGAGAGTGGCCTGAGTGCTGCACAAGCATCGCTTAAGTTACGCACTAAAGCCCCGTAACTGCCGCCTGGGAACCGCCTAAGGGCAGCCGAAGCGCCGCCTAAGTGTTGCCGCTGACGACAAGTGACGCCAACGTGTCGCCTAAATGCCGCCCTAGAGGCCCAAAGTGCCACCGAAGTGCCGCCCAGATGTCGCACAAACACCGCCGAAGTGCCGCCTGCGGGAGAGCAGTGCCCTCCCTGCGGGAGAGCGATACATTGAAATAAGTCCCTTGAGTGCAACGCCATAGAGCACAGTACTTCCCCTTCGTGTGAGCAGTGGCATCACGTGTAGTGCAGTAGGCTGCCTGTGGCATAGTAGTCAAGGGCATTCCTCTGCCTCCAGCAAAGTAGTACATATCAGCACTCGACCCGCGGCACGGCAAACGCCGAGTGCCACCTGCGTGCCCTGACTGCCGCTTGGTGCCACCTCAATGCCCCAAGTGCTCCATCAGGTCTCCGCGGATCTGGTGTCCGCCGCGGCCGCCGCAGACGTGGGGCTCGCCTTCCCGCTCTCTGTGTGGCTGCAGGCGCGCAGCAGGAACCAGAACGGAGACCAGACGCTGGGGTCCACCAACCTCACGTTCGACGTTTTCGGAGGCGGTTCGATGTCTCTGGTCAAGGCTGCCAGCACCACGGAGTACTCGTTGCTGGACGATTTCGTGCGCCTCCAGACCAACGTCGTCCTCTGTGACGGAGCCCTCTTGGACACTGACGACATCCAGGTCTCCTGGGCCTGGAGGCCAGCGGGCGAGACCGCGTGGAACGACTGGACGAATCCGAGCACCGTGGGGTTCTCGTCCCTCCAGATGCCGACTTGGGAGCTGGGCGCCGGGCTCTTCGAGGCTCGGCTGCACGCGAGGGTGGCCATCCGCAGGAGTGACGTTTGGTGCGAAGCTGGAACCGTTCTCGGACGTCTTCGTCGGCTCCCAGGGGGGTTCTGTCCCGGGGCGCGTCCCAGCAGCTGCGCCTTTGCCGAGGGCGCTCCGGGGGCCCAAGAGGGCCGTTGGAGACCAGAGCCGCGGCCTGAAAAAGCCGGGTACACGGGATTTCCAGAGACGCAGGGGAGGGGGGGGGGGGGGCGTGCCGCAACTGTGGTGTCGCACGCAGCCATCTGCAAGCCGTCGCACCGAACGGTCACTCTGGCCCCAGCCTGGGGCCGCCCTCCCGCGTGCCGCCGAGAGAGGCGAGAGCCTCCATCGTCGGCTCGGCGAGCGAGGTCATCTTCGAGATGACCGTGGCGGACATCCCGCCCCCCGTGGCGCGCATCACGCTGCCGGCCGAGGCCTCTGCCGCCTGCGATCTCCCGCTGGACGCCTCGAGCTCCACCGACCCCTCCGGGGCCGCCCTGTCCTACGCGTGGGTCTGCTACGCCAACAGCTCCGCGGGGGGCGCCGCCTCTGCCGGGGCCGCCGCGTCCTGCGGCGCGGCGGTGGAGAACGTCACGGCGCCCTCGCTCACGATCTCGGCCGGGACCTTGCCGCAGGGCGCCTACCTCTTCAGAGTCAACGTCTCCCGCTGGGACGCCTGGGCGACGGCCGAGCGCACCGTGCTCGTCACGAGCTCCACGCGGCCCGTGGTCTCCTTCGGCGAGCTGGCGGCGGAGGTGTCGGCGCAGCAGCCGCTGGTGTTCCTGGCCGAGGTGGCCGAGTCCGCCGACTGCGTGGCGCCAGACTGGGCGGCGTGGTGGCTCGTGCCGCCAGACGGCGACGCCGTGCAGCTGTCGGCGCCGGTGGAGGGGGGCCCGCTGGGGCTGTCGGCATCCTCGCTGCCCGCCTCCTCCGGCACCTACCGGCTGCGGCTGGTGTTGTCCGAGTTCGAGTACCTGGGCTTCACGGAGGACACCGGCAGCAGCATCTTCGTCTACGATTCCTCCTACTTCTCGATCGACGAGCCGCCCGCGGGCGGCTCCTGCGAGGTGTTCCCGCCATCTGGCAACGCGACGCTGACAAGGTTCACGATCTCCTCATTAAACTGGGTGGATGACGACCTCCCCCTGCTTCACGCGTTTTCAAAATGCAGCGGATCAATCAGCCAGGGTTGCGGCGCTTGGGTCACACTCAGCGCCTATTCGCAGAGCGAGACCTTGCAGCACATCCTGTTTTCCACACTCGGGACGGTGACCGTCCGTGCGAAGGCCAAAGACGCGCTCGGTTCTTCCGCAGAAGCCGTCACCGAGGTGGAGATCTTCGAGCTGACAGAGGCTGTCAGCGACGACAACCTGCTGAGCGTGGTGAACGCGGTGGCAAGCTTCGGCAATCCCTTCACCACCCTGGCAGCTGTCGCGGCAGCGGCGGAGACCTCGAATGGTGGGAGCCAGGAGTTCTCCAGTGCCCTGCTGGATAAGATGACGGCCAGCGGCGCCCTGTGGGAGGCTACCACCGAGGCCGTCGAAGCGACGACGGCGACGCTGACCAGCGTCCTGACGGGGGTGTCGACGGCCTCCCTGACGTCCAACGCGGGCGGAGCGGCAGCCGCGCCCGCGGAGGTCATCGTGGAGATGGGGGTCGCCGGGAAAGCGGCGACGTTGGTGACCAGCATCGCGACGTCGGCGGCGAGCCTGAACGAGGGCATGGCGGTGGGCACCGCCACTTCGCTGATGAGCTCCGTGGCCATGCTGCTGAACACCGCCACGGCGGACATTGCGGACAACGCCACCGCGCCCGCGGGGCAGGGCGCTGCGGCGACGGCGCAGGCGGAGCAGCAGAAGGCCTTGAGCGGCCAACTGCAGCAGGCCACGGGGGCCATCGGCGACGCCGTCGTCCAGGCCGCCTCCACGGGCGAGGAGGTGACGCTGAACACGAGTTCCGGCCTGCACCTCAGCGTCATGAGGGCGGACGGCGGCCTGCTGTCCGCGGGGGGCGCCAGCGTCGGCGGCTTCACGCTGCCCCCCATGGCGAACCTGAGCGGCTGCCAGACCTCGGGGCGCAGGCTCTCCAGCTCGGCAGGCATCGTCACCTCCGAGGCTCGTGTGGGATCCCTTAAATTCAGGAGGGAAAGAAACACACAGACACAATTAATCGTCGATTCCCCAGAAAATCTGGGAAAAATTGGGGAAGTGAGGGGGGAGACAAAAACCCAGAAAATATTGGAAAATATGGGGAATCCTGTTATGTGTGTGTATTTGTGTGTCTCAGGGCCCCTTCATAAGTGTATGTTGTTTTATCAGGACATGTTTTTATGTCCTGGGTGTCTTTTGCCGAATTCATGAACGCGCTGATTTCGGAAACGAGGGGGGCCGAGAGTCTACGAGCAGTCGCGGGTCGATGCGATGGCTGGGTGCAGTGTTTTTTCAAACAGGTATCGCTGGCGCTGTGCCATGTTACTCCAGATTTCGTAATAAAGGGAGGGGGTCTCATTTCGGGGGGGGGCTCTTCCAGGCTATCTTGGAGGGCCTGGGGGGTCTGGGGACGATGTTTTGGAGGGTTCTCCCACGGGGGAGGTCTGAAATGGCTTGTCTTGGAGGTCCAGACCCCCTCCCTTTTGTTACGAAATCTGGAGTATACAGTTTGCCGAAGAACCCTTTTCGTTGGGGCGCTGAAGAAGGAACCCTTTTCGTTGGGGAGGGGCTCGGTGTTCCTTGATTGTTCTACAGCTTGCCTTAGGTTTTCATGCGGTTTTCCATGGGAGATCGAAGTGCAACGTATGGGAAAAAGGGGCCTCGCTCCTTACTCAGGGTTCCTTAGGTCAACGCCCCGACTGTATACAGTTTGCCAGACAATTGGCGCCAGTGCCACTGCCTCCTTCTTCGATCCCAGACGCTTCGGTGCCACGTCGCCGCCCTCGGGGGCGCCAGCCCTTCTCCAGTCCTGCTCCTCTTGCTTGGCGTGTTTGATCCCAGAATTTGCAGGAGGGGAAAAAACACACAGACACAATCAATCGGCGATTCCCCAGAAAATATGGGAAGACATGGGAAGTGGGGGGGGAAGACAAAAACCCAGAAAATACAGGAAAATCTGGGGGATCTGTTTAGTTGTGTGTATTTATTTGTGCGTCCCAGTTCCCCTTCAAATGTACTCGTCTCACTTTGACCTAGCGTCCCTCTTGTCCTTCAGTTTCATCGTCTTCAGCCCTCCCGCTCTTCGTCATCCTCGTCGTCTTCTTTCCCCCGCCCTCGTATTGTTAGTTTCCTTCTTCGTCATGCTGTTTTGCTTCTACTCCACCTCATCCTTGTTCGCACGAGCCCACTGAGAGCCGATTGTGGCCCTCGTTTGGCCTCCTCGGGGCCCCATCGGGGTTTCCCGAGTGCGCCCGGGTCAACGTGTACGGTGCATCTTGGTGTCGGGCTCTTTTGGGCCATCTTGGAGTCCGCCCGAGTGCTTCTTGGGGCTCTCTTTCAAGCCTGTTCTGGGCACATAGGGGCTTTCTGAGGGCCCCCGAGTCCAGGTACACAGTTCATACTGGTTTGGGGCATTCCTCCTCCTCCTCCTCCTCCTCCTCCTCCTCCTCCTCCTCCTCCGCCTCCTCCTGCTCGCCTCCTGGGGCCTTCCCATCGGCCTCCTCTGGGCCCCTTGTGGGAGCTCCCCGAAGGCCCCCGAGTCGAGATGCACGTTGCATGTTGGCTCTTGGGTTAAGTCGGGCCTGTCCCTCTACAGGAGGAAGATTCAAAAATAGTTAAAGAATAGTCTGGGGACGATTTGTTTGTTATTTCTGGGCATTTGGGGAGTTGTTTTAAATATTTTCAATTGGTCGCCCAAAATACTCCTGTAGGGGGACAGGCCCGACTTAACTCTTGGCCCCCTGTGGGGGCCATCGTTAACCGCCTTCCAAACCGCCCCAACCCAACCCGAAGGCCCCGATCTGCCCTCCATTTGCCGTGGGGGGGGGGGGTCGGGGGACATGGAACAAACACAGATGAACCCGTACACCCCCCCAACCCGAAGTTCGGGCGAAATGCGGGTCTCCGGGTTGGGTTGGGGTGGTTTGGTATGTAGTCAATCATGGAGCCCAGTTGGAAGCGTCTTGGGGCCTTTTCTGGCACCCCAGGGGCTTCGCGGGGGCTTCCCGAGGGCCCCCGAGTCAAGGTGCACGGTGCAACTTGACTTTGGACAAAGGGTGAGGAAGATTACGACGAATAGAAGAAAGACGAAGGCGGCGACGAGGAGAAGGGGACGATAAGGAATATGAGGACGATGACGGGGGCAAAGTGGAGGAATACTTCGAAGAGGATGCGGAATAGGGCGGGGAGGAATTGACACATTTCCACCGCCAGAATATGTCCACATACACCGCTTCGGAGTCGTTCCCTGGGATCTCGAGGAGCGGTGGATATGGATATCTGCCCGCCCGCGACGGCGGGCAGATATCTATATCCGCCGCTCCACGAGTCCTTGGAACACGACCCTGCAGCAGTGGATATGGTCATATTTGGGGCCCTCACCGGTCCCGTGGAGAGGCTCGGGGATTCCAGGGACTGCGCATTGGAAAGACATACCCGCGTCGCATGTCTGGGTCCTCCCCCCTGGTCGAACATCACCCAGTAGCAGCGGATGTGGTCATATTCTGGCGGCGCACCATTGCATGAGGAGGTGGGCCCCAGTCCCACACATGCACCTTCCGCCTTCCAGGCTCCAGGGCCTCCCTCCGGGGCTCTGCTGCCACGTCCACCCCAAAGAGAGGTTGAGAGCGCCAACCTCTGGCCCTCCATCTTCGTATATTGCTCGCACCGCAGAGAATGAAGAGGGATCAGAGGAGGGAAAGGTGCACCCGTGCCTCCACCCTCCGCCCTTTCTCCCCTTTTTGGGCCTCCTTGGAGCCCCTCGTCGCCACCGCTGGATTCGCCTCGAAATCCTGGTCAGAACGCACCCCAGGAGAGGTCCTTGAAGTGGCGGTACCTATCGGTACCTTTTGGCTTCCCCAGGGGAGCGGTTCGCGCAGGACCTCTCGGGAGACCCGTCGGGATCGAGTCAGGGCCAGCCCCCTTCCAACAGTGAAGGGTGCCGCCCCTTGAAAACATTAGAAGGGGCCACCCTCTTCCAACAATCCAGGGTCCATCCCCGTCCAAAAAGTACGGACCCATCCCCTGCCCAAAGAAGGAGCGAGGTTAGCGCAGGACCTTTCGGGAGACCTGTCGGGAACGACTCAGGGCCCATCCCCCCTCCAACAAGTTAAGGGTCCGCCCCTCTTCTGAAATCAAAGGTCCACCCTTTTCCAAAAATCCAAGGTCCATCCCCTTCAAAAAGTACGGTCCCATCCCGTTCCCTTTCCCAAAGAAGGGGGAGCGGTTAGCGCAGGACCTTTCGGAAGACTTGTCGGAAACGATTCAGGGCCCACCCCATTCCAACACATTAGAAGTCCACCCCCTTTTCAAGCACTGTCAGGGGCCACCCCGCTGAACACAATAAGGGTCCATCTTCTTCCAACAACGAAGGGTCCACATTGAGGGTCTGGCTGGAAAAGTGAAGGGTTCACACTTCGTCTTCGTGGGTGCCGCACTCTTGATGGTCGGTGTCGCTGTCGTGACGGCGGCGAGGGGCCTGCAGAAGAGAGTCGCGCAGAACGACGCTCCGCCTGTCGGCTGACCAAAGCGCCAGAATTACTTGTGCAATGCCCAATAACTACACCAGATTTCGTATTAAAAGGGAGGGGGGCACAACCCTCCCAGGCCAGAAGTTTTAGGCCCCCCCCCAGACCATCCATGAAAGGGCGGCACTTTGCCCAGACCCCCCCCCCCGAACCCTTTAAGACAGCTCAAATCAGACCCCCCCGCCAAATGTGGCCGCCCCTACTTTATTATGGAATCCGGAGTACCAGAAGAAACCGCCCTGCTCGTGGGGGGGGCAGGGTTGCTTGGCGTCGGAAGCGTAGGTAAATCATGCTTTCGGGGATGGGCAAGCCGAAACCAGTCGAACACGATCTGGAGGTCCCCAGAATACCGTGGGAGGCTTTTCATGAGATTACAAGAGGCTCCGAGAAGCCCATTCGAGGGCCCAAGAGGTGCCCCAAGGGGTCTTCAAGAGCACTGCAGGACGTCAAAACCAAGCGATCTTCCACGGAACGTTTGGAACAGGCGAAACCGTCTTCCACGGGCCGTTTGGCCGAAGGCAGTGGGGCCTACGCAGACGCTTCGCAAGAGCGGGACAACCGAAGAACGTACATGGGACGTGGCGCCTATGGTTTTCTGGATATCGTTTGATCAGGAGGGAAAAAACATACAGACACGATTAATCGTCGATCCCCTGGAGAATATGGTAAAATATGGGAAGTGGGTGGCGGATGACGAAAATCCAGAAGATTTGAAAACACATAGGGGAATCATGGAATTTGTGTGTAATTATTTGTGTGTCCCTGGGCTCCTTCACTTGAGGCACTCATCGATGGCCCTCTGGGGGCCTTCTTGGAACCAGGTGTCGGCCCTCTCCAGCACAGCACCTGGATCTCGGACGTTCTCGGGGCCCTCTCGGTGCAATCGTGGGGCCATCTTACTCGGAACCCTTCTGGGGCTCGCTTCCTCCTCCTCCTCATCCTCCTCCTCCTCCTCATCATCCGCCTCCTCCTGCTCCTCCTTATCCCCCTGCTGCTCCTCCTCCTCCTCCTCCTGCTCCTCCTTATCCCCCTGCTCCTCCTCCTCCTCCTCCTGCTCCTCCTTATCCCCCTGCTCCTCCTCCTCCTCCTGCTCCTCCTTATCCCCCTGCTCCTCCTCCTCCTGTGCTCCTCCTCCTCCTGCTCCTCCTTATCCCCCTCTCCTCCTCCTCCTCCTCCTCCTCCTCCTCCTCCTCCTCCTCCTTCTCCTCCTCCTCCTTATCTCCCTCCTCCTTCTCCTCCTCCTCCTCCTCCTCCTCCTCCTGATCCTAATGTTCCCCCCGGTCGCGTTCGCGCCTGCCGCTGCCCGGCGGTCGGGCGGCGCAGCCCGAGACGGGCGCGGGGTGAGCTCCAAGGCAGCACCACTCTGCCGTGGTCGCTCTCCTTGGGGAGGAGGAGGAGGAGGAGGAGGAGGAGGAGGAGGAGGAGGAGGAGGGGGAGGGGGAGGAGGAGGAGGAGGAGGAGGAGGAGGAGGAGGAGGAGGAGGAGGAGGAGGAGGAGGAGGAGAGGAGGAGGAGGAGGAGGAGGGGGAGGAGGAGGAGAGGAGGAGGAGGAGGAGGAGGAGGAGGAGAGGAGGAGGAGGAGGAGGAGGAGGAGGAGGAGGGAGGAGGGAGGAGGAAGGAGGGAGGAGGAGGAGAAGGAGGAGAGGAGGAGAGGAAGGGAGGAGGAGGGGGAGGAGGGGAGGGGGAGGAGGAGGAGGAGGGAGGAGGAGGAGGAGGAGGAGGAGGAGGAGGAGGAGGGAGGCGGGAGGAGGGAGGAGGAGGGACGGAGAAGGGACGGAGGTGGTGGTGGGACGGTGACATGGGACCTGGGTCCGCGTTCATCTCTAAGACCTCGTGCCTATACCTCCCGATCTGTAAGAGGGGGGGGGGGGGGGGCACAAGGCGGGTCCGGCCTTGAAGTGGGCGGCGAAGCTGAGCGTGCCTCGCCAGGGGGCACGCCTTTGGTGTGCAGCCTCCCGTCGGGCCTCGCGCCTCCTCGCTGCCTCTGCCCTGTTGGCAGCGATGCGTTCCAGCTGGGCGAGGGTGAGAGGCGGGGGAAGCGGCGGCGGCGGCGGCACGACGGCGGAGGGAACGGGGGAGGAGGGAGGACCGAAAAGAGCAAAAGCTTCTGACTCCTCATCCGAACCAGGGGGCACGAATTGCTGCGGCTCAGATGCTGGAGTCGGATCACACCCACATGCGGCCGGTGTCGGAGAGCCATACTGTGGGCTCTGTGGGCTGTCCTCGGGTTCCATGGGGTCCTTCAGAAATCTGTGGATCTCCGGATCAGCGCGTTAAACTCCTTCCTGCTTCTTACTCCTGTGCACATAGTCGGGCGCAGGAGTGAATTCATCATCGATGTGTGGCATGTAAAACTGTCGAAGGTCATTGATAAGGGAAGGGTCAAGATCCTCGCCCACGATGTCTGCATCGTTGGCGTGCGCAAAGATTATGGAAATGGATGCTGCGATCGATGCGGCCATCCTGTTACACATCTCCGAGGGGTACGTCTTTTTGGCATGGGTTCGGAACTGTGGGGCCCCTCCCTTTCCGTCCGTCTCCTTGCCACGCAGTATCTTGTGAGCATCGTCCCTTCCTCGGAGTATCTGTCAACCTGCTGGCAAGGCATTCCGCCCGTACTCACTGGGGCAACGTGTAGCTGGCTGGTGCACGCACTGATCAAAGTCTGCTGTGACGACGTTGGGTGCTGATGCGAGCGCTGCAAAGGGCTCCCATTGGAAGCTGCTGGGAGCCTGGGAGCGCCAATAGGGGGGAATGGGATGCTCCATCCACCCCGAGGTCCCCGCTGTGACGTGGCAACCCAAGAGGTACACCAAGTTTTGTAAGAGCGTGTTGCCTACCTTGAGCTGTTGTGCTTGTCTGTCGGTAGCCCAGGGGACACCCCAAAACCATTCATGAGTACGCAGGGGGGGGGGGCGTCCAAAAAAAAGGGACGGAGGAGGGAGGAGGGAGGAGGGAGGAGGGAGGAGGAGGAGGAGGAGGAGGAGGAGGAGGAGAAGGTGGGTTCGTCCCGCGAGCCTGCGAGGCGAGCATCGGCCTGCAGCACACGACCTGGCCGAGCAACCCGTTTGCGTACGCCGGCTCGACCGCGTCGGCGGGCAATAGCTCTGGGGGAGTTGCCATTCTGGCCATTCCGTCCGACGGCGTGCGGTCGTCGAGGGAGAGAAGTTGGCAGGGGCAACATGATGGGGGATCGAATTCGGCTCAGGAGGGGGCGCATCGACTCCCAATCGCCCACTTACCGCCGACAGGGGCCCGATAGCCCACCACGCCCGGGAGCGTGCGGGTCCGCTCTCGGGGACCCATCGCCGATCTTTCGGCAATGTACTCGCCGATTCCAGCTCCCTTGGCATCGCTCGGACGTGTGCATTTTTCCTTCGGCGAGGGCCATCGAAGAGCATCCTTGATAATTTGGCGAAAAAACCACGCACGAAACCGAAAAAAAACACAGGGAATGGACGTCCGAGCGATGGCGAGCTCGATGTTTCCCCCCGTGAGCCAGTCCATCCTCAACGCTCCCCTCAAGTCGGCACGGACATTCGTGGAGGTCTGGCGGTATTCTTGGATCGGCGCTGCACCCCCCTTGGCGGCGCTGCTGGTGCCGATCCGGAAGGTCCGCGCAGACCTTCGGAACGTTAGGCTTCGTGCAGTTGTTTCTTGTGTTCTAGGTCTTTCAACATCCGGCAGTGCGGGGAAGAGGTGGCCGTCAGCAACCTGGAGCAGCCCGTCAGCATGTTGTTGCCCATGTCCTCCGCAACCAGGAGGCTCCTGGCGGACAGGAGTCTCAGCCAGAGCCAGGATTTTAAGGGCCTTCGTCGCACCAGCCGCCTCAGTCCTCCCTCCCCTCTCCCCCCGCCTCCGTCGTTCCTCCGTCCCTCCTCCTCCTCCTCCTCCTTCTCCTCCTCCCCCTCCCTCTTTGACACATCCCCAAGCACATCGACCGCTGCGACGCCGTGAAGCGCCACGCTCGATGGCTACCAGTCGCTACCGCCTCCAAGCATACCTTCGCCAGCCCTGTCTTCTTGCGCACGCTGAACCTCTTCCATGCTATGTACTTCGCACCATCCAGCTACATCAAGCTCATCGGCGAGCGCTACGACACGATCGCGTTCGGCTCTGGAGTGGCGCAGCGTTGCTCTGCATCAGGACTGGTCTGGGCGATAGCCCTCGACCCGATTATCCACCACCCCGATGCGTTTTTGAAGTTTCCGAACGGCACGCAGAACCTGGACATTGGCTACCTGGACGCATGCGCTGACGACATCGGCCCGCTATCGAACCCGATCGACACACTGAGCCAAGTGACCACCCTGTTTGCCGCTAAGGAGGAGCCTGCGCTCCTCTCTGCGAAGCCGCGCAAATGCTTTGTCGCGCCCATCTGGCCCGACGCGTCTGCAGCCACCATTGCCCTCTCGACAGCGCTCCTGGCCGCCCTCGGACCTCCTTGGGGTGGCTCTTCGGTGGCGGGGCGAGCCGAATTCTTAGGCTCGGTTCTCGGACCCGAGGCCTCATTGGCTTGTCAAGCCCATGGGCAAAAATGGTGGCAACGGGGCAACTATACTTCAGCATGGGCAGAGTGGCCGTGCCGCCGCGGCCCGCTTGTACAATACACCGGTGCTGTCCATGTTCAGCTATGTTTCGCAGTTCTCCCCCCTTGAGACCACCATCGCACGCTGTGAACAGCATCTGTTCCACAAGTTGATCAGCTTGCCGCCGACCTCTTCTCACAAAGTTGACCTGATCGGCATGGCAGGCTGGAGCCCGCCACCAGTCACCCAATGTGCACAGGTCCTAGCTGTTGAATCGGCTGCACACTTTGCAGCGAGGTCGTCCTCAGCTGCGGGGGAACCTGTCGCCGTGCGCCTCGCTGCCCAATCGTGGGTCGAAACAACGTTACAGGCCACACCTCACTGGTAGGCTGGTGCATGGTCGCCGTCCCCATGGCCATCTCAGACTGCGCACGTACAGTACTGCCGCTCATCAAGTCGCAGCGTAGTTCAGACCCTCAGCGGTGGGCGGGCGACCACCGCTAAGATGCACACCATTCTGCAGCGCAAGTGAACGCTCGTCTGTGCCGACACGCCTGACTTCCCCCCGCACTATCTCTCCTGCTCCGCCCGTTCGAGGCTCCTCTGGCTCCCTGTCTCCCCCCCTTCATTCAACCGAATCTGATTGGCCCTGCCTCAGCGCATGCAGCTGACGCCGCCAGTCCAATTTCTCTGCCAGCGATTGTCTCGTGGATCGTCCTGGCATTTCACGTTTACAATCAAATGAAGTCCCCTGCCAGCGCCAGCATTGCGTCTGCTTCACAAGCAGATCTAGTCGCATCGCGCTGCGCAGCACACGCTTCTACCATTATGGTAGAGGCGCTAGGCCCAAGCACGCACTGGAGAGCCTAACTCATTTGCCCTCTTCTCGTTCGTGCTCGTGTCCGCCTGCCCTCTTCCTTTTCTCAGGGTGCCCATACTCCTCCTCCCATTTTGACGCTGATCGGGCCTGACGAGCAAGCTTGTGGCGTCATCCTCCTCCTCTTCCTCCTCCTCCTTCTCCTCCTCCTCCTTCTCTTCCTCTTCCTCCTCCTCCTCTTCCTCCTCCTCCTCCTCTTCCTCCTCCTCCTCCTCCCCCCCCCCCATCCCTCGCTGGGTGCACAGCGGTGGTAATCACATGAGCGGGCAGATAGTTCACGAGCTTAGGTGGAAATTCTTCCTTGTCGAGGCTACGGCCTCCACGCCATGCCCTAATGGGCACGGGCGAGCTTCCCAGTGGAGCACGCACGATTCAGGCGTTCGCTTCGCTTCACGACGAGGCAGGGGACGGGGGAGCGGTAGAGGGTGGATTGGGCCTCGTTGGCCGCACTGAGGGTCTCCCGAGGACACCGTTGTGGAGGAGGTGCGCGAGTGCATGTTCTTTGACACCACACAGGACGCCTGGTCTACCGAAGGTTGCTGGCTGGTGGGGATCAGCGGCGACTCCGTCACCTGCAACTGTACTCACCTATCCTCATTCGCTTCCGCCTTCGGTTCCTTCACGTCCCTCGTGGGCGATTTCCTCTGCCCCAACGTGGCCATCCTCGCTCCAGCAGGGTTCGCGAACCTGGGCAAGGGCCAATGGGCGTTGCAGCGCGGCGGGGTCGTTCTCTGGACGCTGCTGGCGATCCACCTGATCATCACTCTGACGGCCGCCAGGTCGCAAAGATCCCCGAAGGCGAAGCCAGCCTTCTTTTTGTATTCTGACGACTTCAAGTCCTACAAGAAGCACGCCGTGTTCAAGAGCATGATGGATGCTGGAAAGAAGAATGGGAAGTCCCGCGCGACGGTGATGGTTGTCTTCGCAGTCCACGCGACTCTACGGCTCAAGCTGAATTGCGACTACGAGGAATTGTTTCAGAAAGACATGCAAGATATCGTTTCAACGCTGATTTTCTACAGGTTGATGATGACGTGGGTGACAGCCACCATGGGTTTCTCCGAGGTAGACCTGCGATACTTGCGCCACGGCAACGTGCTCGAGCGCAGGAACAGCGAGGGAGGTGGCAGACGGACAGTCCTTGCGATTGCAGCCACGACACGAGACGAAGACGACAACAAAGGCCTGGCCGGCGAGTTCGTCCAGACCCTCGAGGCAAAGAGCCGTCAGTTGCAGGACCGCCAGCGGCGGTGGTTCCAGGACGAGCTCTCCAAGGAGATTGGCACCCTCTACAAGACCATCCACCCGATCTACAAGCTCATGCTGTACAGCATGACCTTGCCCTGGATATTCCAGGTTGTCGCGTTACTCGACGCCGTGTTCGGCTCCCTCATGCTGTCGGCGGCATTCTACGGCACCACCGCGAGCCCCAATGTACCCGAATGCGTCGGGCCGGATGACCTGTTTGGAACCATCGTTCGCGACATCCTCGTGTCCCTCGTTTCGACGATCATTGCGTTCACCCCGCTGTTTGTAATGCACTCCAGGCGAGACCGCACAATGCCACGTGTGAGCGATCACGAAGTGCAGAAGCGGTTGTGGAGGTGGCTCCTGAAGGACGTTGCCTGCATCACAGCAGGGCTGCTCTGGTTCGCATTTTGCGTCCTGTACGTCATGCTCTTCCTGGCGAACGTGAGCACAAAGGACGTGGACCACTGGCTGATCAGCCTGGCCGCCCGCTTCCTAAGCAACTGGATCATCGTGCCGTTTGTCCTCACGCTGATTTGGGTCGTGGGCATGCGGTTGGCCAGCGGTCTCCACGAGGACTTCATTCAGGTCGGCACGGCCGGCCTCCTCAGAGCGGTCCGGGGCGCCAGGTCTTCCGTTCGCTCAAGCGCGGACCTCGGCGCTGCCCGCGTGCCAGAGCCGCCGCCGCAGCCACCTCAGGCCGCCCCCGGCGGGGGCCCGGGGGCGACGCCGGCGAGCGAGGAGCCCTTCTGGGCGTGGATCGAGCAGGTGCGGCAGCGGCAGGGCCTCAGGGGCCCGCTGGACCTGCCGGCCCTGGCGATGCCGCCGCCCCGGCCGCTGACCCTGGCGAGCCCGCCGCCCGCCCGGCCGCCCCGTGGGCCGCTGGCCCCGGCGAGCTGGCCGCCCGCCTGGCACCCCTGGGAGCCGCCGCGGCACGCCTGGAGCGGCGGCGGCCGCGACTCGCCGCCCGCACAGCGCTTGCCGGCGCTCGCCCTGGCGAGCCCGCCGCCCGCTTGGCCGCCGCCTGCAGGATCGCCGCGGTACGCCTGGAGCGCCGGCGGCGGCTCGGCGCCGCGGGCGCTGCACGTGGCCGCGCCCGGAGGCCTGCCGCCCCCGCCGCACGAGGCCCCGCCCGTGCCGCCCCTGGGCGCGCTGCTGGACGTGCCGGGCCAGGCTCGGCGGGGCAGGCACGTGGCCGTAGGGCCCCCAGAGGCCCGCGCGCGTCGTGCAGCAGCCACGGTGGGCTTCCGGGGGCCTCGGGCCGAGCCTCGGGAGCGTCCAAGGGAGACTCGGGACGAACAGCTGGTCCCGGGGAGTGGGCCCACGTCATGAGAAGAGTAGGGTAGAGGGTGGAGTAGAGTAGAGTAAGACAGAGCAGAGTGGGGCAGAGTCCACCCGAGCCCGGTCCAGTCCTCTCCCGGTCCCGGGGAGCGGGTCCAGACCCGGGCGTCCACGTCATGAGGAGAGCACGGCGCCGGGGGGCCTGGAGCTCGAGGGGCGGGGCAGTCGAGGGCCGAGGGGCCGAGGGCAGTGGAGGTTCCCGTGCCCTGTCCTCTGCTCGAGGGCCCTGCACCTCAGGCCCCTCCCCTTCTCGGCTGCGAAGAAGTGGAGCCCTGGACCACGTCTTCGTGAGGCATCTTGCCAGCCACGCGCAGAGGGGGGGCAGAGGGGGAGGGCTTCTTAGAAGCGCCCCTGCACCCTCGGAGGCGCCTGGCCTTACTGTATCCATAGATGTAGGGCCGGCGCCTTCCAAGCAGCTGCCTCGTTCTGAGAAGCCCTCCCCCCTCCCCCCACCCCCTTTGTGCGCGCCGCCAGTCTTTCTCGGTCGGATCGATGTGCGATGGCCCCAGGGCTCGAAGCAGGGCAGCATTCAGGAGGGAAAGAAACACACAGACACAATTAATCGCCGATTCCCCAGAAATATGGGAAAATATGGGAAGTGGGGGGGGAAGACAAAAGCCCAGAAAATATGATAAAACATACGGGGAATTATGTTATATGTGTGTATTTATTTGTGTGTCCCAGGGCCCCTTCAGCATCGCCCGTCGTGGGACAGCTGGCACGCCAGGATCCGAAGGGCTCCTGCAGCTCCCGGCAGGTGCCCGCGGCTCGCCCCCCGGGTCCGAGGAGCAAGAAACGGTACATCAGAGCGTGAATTACCTACCCCAGATTTCGTAATAAAGGGAGGGGGGTCTCATTTCGGGGGGAAGTCTCCTCCAGGCTATCTTGGAGGGCCTGGGGGGGTCTGGGGACGATGTTTTGGAGGGTTCTCCCACGGGGGAGGTCTGAAATGGCTTGTCTTGGAGGGTCCAGACCCCCTCCCTTTTATTACGAAATCTGGAGTACCCCGCTTTCGCTTCCAGGCAAAACCAAGTCATACCACGCGCCTCCTTGTCAAGCGGCCTGACCAGCACAGGCTGCGATTTGGCATCGTCTGGTATCTCTTGGAAGCGAAGGTGGTCAACAGCGAGGCAGGTTTGTTTTCCCCCTGGCACAAGCGTCAGCTGCCTGAGGCCCGCACTCCTCTGTGGATCGGCGCCAGGAGGCCCCGCCAGGGGACTGCAGCGCCGATCCAACACCTCCGCGTGCGCGGACCTCCGAAAGCTCTTACGCCGGAGTCATGTCGTTCTCCCCTGCGAGATCCCCATGGAGGTATCGACCCCTGTCCCCGGGACCGGCGTTCGTCCTGAGTCGTTTTCGTGTCGGTCCCGGTGCGCGGCATGGGGCCCCCCAGAGGCCGACGACGGTGAAATGCGTTCGCTTCGATTGTTCTCCAGATCGGTTTGCACGTACGAGCTCTAGCCCAAGCCATAGAGAACTGGTTCATTGCTCCCCCCCTATCTGCCCCAAACGATTGCAATGGTTTCCTCTGGTTGCAGTGGGTTCCTCTGCTATTGCAATCGCGTCCTCTGGTTGCCATGCCTTCCTCTGCTATTGCAATGCCTTTATGTGGCTCTTCAATTCGAGCCCCAACAACCGTCAAACTCAAACATAGAGCCGAGTAGAGTAGAGTGGAGCAGAGCAGGACTCGGGCAGAGCAGGGCAGGGCAGGGGAGAGCGGGAGTAGAGCAGGAGCAGAACAGAGTCAAGCTGGCCATGTCGAGCGGGGCAGGGGGACCTGCTCATCCCCACCCATCCCCACCACCCAGACGATGAACTTTGGGCACAGCCCGATCAGACTTCAACGCGCGCCCCCGCCGCACACACGGACGGCGCTCCTGCGCGGCCCCGCCTCCGGCGACCTGGCGAAGGCAAACAGCCGCGCGTGCCGCGCGGGGGGCGGGAACGGCAGAGCCCCCCAGGGGCGTGGCGAAGCGGAAGCGCGTGCCGCGCCGACTGCAGCGCTGCCGCTCTCACTCGCAGGCTGCGCAGCGCCTGCACGACGTGGCGAGGTCGACACGTGGCCCGCTCCCGCTGCCGCGGTCGCTTTCGCGCGACGCGCGGAGCACTGCGCTAATTACACAAGTCGCCCACTCGCGCGGGGCCCCAGAGAGAGTGGCGAGCGAAGGCTCTGCGCGGCGTCGGGGCGGGAACGCCGTTTTCGGGCGAGGTCTGCGCGGCGCCGAGGCGAGAGTCACACTCACGCCCGCTCGCACGTCGACAAAGCTGAGTGCGAAAGATATGCGCCACGCCGAGGCGGGAGCTCAACTCTTTATTGAGCACAACATCGAATCGAGTACAACGTTTCGGCCTTTCGCGCGAGCTGCGCGCCCCGTCCCACTCCTGCCACGCATTTTGCAACATGGATGACGACATGTTCTTGTTGGGACGAAGATCGCCGACTTTGTGTTATTTCTGTCGCGTGTGAGACGAAGGGTCCCGAATCCGGCCCCTATCGGCCGCCTGCGGTGGAGAGTAGGAGTGGTGTATTGGCAAGGACCTATGGCTCAGAGTAGAGCGAAGCAGAGTACAGTAGACAAAATAGAAGAGAGTAGGAGTAGAGTAGACCAGAGTAAAGCAGTATGAAAGAGTAAAGTGGAGCAGAGTAGAGTAGAGTAGACTCGAATAGAGGAAAACAAGAGCAGAGTACAGAAGAGCAGAGCAGAGCAGAGCAGAGTAGAGCCGAGTCAGGGGCACGGTCGAGTCAGGTCGGGGATGATCTAGGAGAGTGTCGAGTACGGTATATCATGGGAGGTGTGGAGTAGCGTAATACAGAGTATAGTTGAATAGAGTCAGTGGGGTAGATGAGAGGAGAGGAAAGTTGGGTGGAGTAGAGGGTATTTGCTAGAGTAGTGTAGGGTAGCAGTAGCGCGTAGTAGTAGAGTAAGAGCCGAGGAGAGTAAAATAGTTGTAGAGCGGAATTGAGTAGAGTAGGGTCAAGTAGAGGGTAGACTAGAGTCAGGTAGAGTAGAGCAGAGCAGAGTAGAGTGGAGTAGAGTCGTTTATAGTCTTCTTGGCTTGAGCAGGGTAGCAAGATCGTATTGCGAAGTACGAGTCGAGTAGAGCAGAATAGAGTAGAGTAGATTAGAGTAGGGTAGAGTAGAGTAGCGTAGAGTAGGAGTAGTAACAGAAGCAGGAGCAGGAACAGGAGTAGTAACATGAATAGGAACCAGATTGGAGTAGGAGTAGAGTAGAGTTGGAAAGTGCGCCACTGGATCTCCGAGAATACACTAAGGGGGGGGGGGGTCCAGAACCCCCCCCCCCCCTCCCTTTCAGGGGAGGGGGTCCGGACCCCCCCCCCCTCTCCCCCTTAAGGGGGGGAGGGGGGGTCCTGACCCCCCCCCCTCCCCTCCCTCCCTTGAACGGGGGGGGGGTCCGGACCCCCCCCCCCCCTCCCCTCCCCCCCTTGGCGCTGGAAAGGGGTGGGGGGTCGGACTTCCCCCCCTCGTGTAGGGAGTACGGAGCTGGGAGTAGGGAGTGGTGAGTAGTGAGTAGTGAGTTAGTGCGTAGTGAGTAGTGAGTATTGGGTACTGGGTAGTGGGTAGAGAGTGGCGAGTAGGGAGTGAGGAGTGGGGAGTAGTGAGTAGTGAATAGTGAGTAGTGTGTCCTGATCAGTTAGTAGTGAGTGGCGAGTAGTGAGTAGGGAGTAGCGAGTAGCGAGTAGTGAGTACTGAGTAGGGAGTAGGGAATAATGAGTAGTGGGTAACGAGTAGTTTGTAGTGCGTAGTGGGTGGCGAGTAGTGATTAGTGAGTAGTGAGTAGTGGGTAGTGCGTAATGCGTAGTGAGTAGTGAGTGGTGAGTAGTGAGTAGTGAGTAGTGAGTAGTGAGTAGCGAGTAGTGAGTAGTGAGTAGTGAGTAGTGATTAGTGAGTACTGAGTAGTACGTAGTGCGTAGTGAGTAGTGAGTAGTGAGTAGTGATGGTTAGAGACAAGAGGGTACTGGCAGTGGGTAGTGAGTAGTGAGTAGCGAGTAGGGGGTAGCGAGTAGGGAGGAGCGAGTAGGGCGTAGTGAGTAGTGAGTAGTGAGTAGGGAGTAGAGAGTGGTCAGTAGTGAGTAGTGGGTAGTGATGAGTAGTGATGAAGAGAAAGTAGTTGGTAGTGGCAGTGGGTAGTGAGTAGGGAGTAGCGAGTAGGGAGTAGCGAGTAGTGAGGAGCGAGTAGGGCGTAGTGAGTAGAGAGTAGGGAGTAGTGAGTAGAGAGTGGTCAGTTGTGAGTAGGGAGTCGTGATTAGAGAGTAACGAGCAGGGAGTAGCGAGTAGTGAGTAGGGAGTAGGGAGTAGGGAGTACGGAGTAGTAAGAAGTGGGTAGCGGACAGTGGGCAGTGAGTAGCGATTGGGGAGTAGTGGGTAGTGAGTAGTGACTAGTGACTAGTAACTAGTGAGTTGTGACTAGTGACTAGAGACTATGTGACTAGTGAGTAGGGAGTAGTAAGTAGTGAGTAGTGCATAGTGAGTGGCGGAGAGTGGGTAGTGAGTATTGAGTAGCGAGTATGGGAGTAGCGAGTAGTGAGTACTGAGTACTCTGTAGTCAGTATTGTGTAG